CTATTTGGCCACTTTTTCCAATGAAAATTACGTGAAAATAAATGTTTGCATTGAGAATTCATCTCTGGCAGTGAGATTGAATCGAAAAAAGTGGAAAATATCAGATTAGTTTCAGCGAATAGTGATATAACCTCAAAATTCGACGAACATTTGTTTTGCTTGTGGGAAGTGGCATTTTGGACTGATTCCGAACAAAAATATATGAAATCAATTCCAAATTCTCTGCTCTATCAAACTAAAACTACCATTTTCTGTTTATTTAATACCGAAAACACCCTAATTGTACAGCCCATAAGAAATGTAAAATTTTCGCCATTTATTTTTACATTGCCAATACATTAGTTATGGGGATTTTTGTTTTGTTTATTTTTTGTTGATTGTAAACAAATCTGCCTATCTTTTTGCATTGCCTCTGCACATTTCCAATGGACATATACTATGCACAATGCACAGTGACAAAGCAAAAAGATAGGCAGATTTGTTTACAAACAACAAAAAATAAACAAAACAAAAATACCCATATATATGATTTTTGTACTGCAGATGCGATGAAAAAACGCAACGCATAGAATTCAGCCGCTGAGCCAGCCAGAATGTTTTCAGTTAGCTAACTGACATTAGCCAAATACATTCTCTGGCCATGCACTATTGCTAAGATATCTTGTCGGTATGAGAAAAAAAATTAAAGCAACAGCAACAATAATCGTGTCACAGTATTATTTGTTTACACGATTGCGCGTGATTACTGCTTTTGGTCATTTCTCTGTCGCTCCTTCCAACTGCCCCGTCTTATTCCCAAATGCAATTTGCATATTTTCTATACCGCAGATAGAGAGCAGTAACTGCAGCTAGAGAAATCGCATAGCGTAGGCATTTTAGCGAGTGAGACAACAGCCGCAGCAGCAGCAGCAACAGCAACAGCAACGACATGAGTTGGCCATCTGACCGTCCGTCATTCGAATATGTGATGATTGCGTTAGTGCACGGGTCAGCAAAAATTATATGTCAGCTGCACTGACTCGACATGACAAATAAAAGACGTTCGCAGTTTTCTCTGTCTCCATATGTAAATGTGTAATGTATTCTACAGTCACATATTGAGTTTATTAAGTTGCGTATACACATATTACATTTAGTGATATTCATTAGAAAAGGAGACGTTTACACACATGCACATCCACCGTGCACACTAACGCCAAATGTCGAATGCAGCAAAAGAGTTCGCAAACAAAGAAACTGTGAAATGCGATGAATGAATGAATGAAAGAAAAATAAAACCATGTATAATATGCACAAATCACAAATATTTATTTGCATTTATGCACATACATCATTTCAGCTATTTTTTTTATTATTAACCATAAGCTCAACTGGTGAAATAATTAAATTGAATAAGTTTTAATTGGCTTCTTGAAATGTACAAATCATGTATCGAGATAGTGAGAATGCTGGAGGCTTTCCGACGCCGTTTCGATCGGCATTCGGCTAATTTATTCGGACGACAGATAAGGCGGAATTGAAATGAAAAAAAGGCATACACACGGAGAGAGAGAGAGATGTGAACAGAAAAAAATGCGCTCAAAATGAAATAACAATGGATGAAATCATTTAGCCGGTTATAACGAGCGGCTTAGCTGCATTGCGATATGGGAGGGATCAACAAAAAATTGGACTTTAAATTTTCTCTTTCGTTTCGGTCATTTGGTCTATATCTTTGTTTATTGTGCAGTGTATCCCGCACATTGTGAGCGTGCGCTCGTGCGCGCACTCGCGCTACTTTTTTTTTTACAACTTTGCACTTGAACGACTGATTTATAACGATTGTGCTAAATTGGAATATGAACGCGATGACTATATCATTTCAAAATTGGTTTTACTTCGATACTTTTCATACTTAAAAAAAAAGCCCGAGTAGATAATGGTTGTTATGTATTGAAAATCGAAATGAACGTTGTTGAAAATAGGACTGTTGCTATTTTGTGTGTTTGTTTGTCGTTTCTCTCTCTCTCACACACACACAAACACAGATTCATTCTCTCTCGCAATAGTATTTACCCGATTAGTGTGCTCACCGATGTCCATTTGTCGAATCGAAGAACAGTTTTAACTGAGCTAGCGATCTAAGAACACACCAACCACCCAGAACACTTATTACTTTGTGTGTGTTCACATACCATATATTTTGTTGAATTTTCGATTTGTGTCTTTCGCTCGTTCGACTCCTGTCCGATTGCATTGGTTGCACAGTTAAGATTTGTGTAGCCGCTTGTCGAGATCCTCGTTTTTACCGTGTGAACGCACATTCAATTTCGTTCAATTGTTTTGTGTTTTATTTTTTTAAAAAAGTTTTCTTCGTTTTGTTTTTTTCCCTAATTTTAATTTACTGTCGTGCGGTTTTTTTCTACACACAATTGTTGTTGTTGTTGTTGTTGTTGTTGTTTTTTCTCTAAATTGTTAATGTATTTTCCTTAACGATACGAAACTAAATTGGTGTTGACTATTGATTTAAATTTTGTTTGCATTGGTAATTATTGTCTCGCTGGTTTTTCGAAAATGGAGTGTAATTAAACGATAATAGGCACTTTGACCGGAATACCTAAATTGCAAATTATACATCAATTCAGGCGGATCTACTGGACATAATTTATACACGGATTTTGCTTGTAGGCTCTTTCAATTTTGTTGTCTAGTTTTTATTTAAAAAGGATATTCATGTTGGTATAACGTTTTATTTTTGTATTGACTGGTGTAAGTGTGTGACAACTTAAAACAAATTAGCCATTAAAATTGATGGTTATCGAAAATGATGATTATTATCAAAAATGGTTAACGCCGATTTAAGCACACATATCATTCATATATATATATGTATATATATATATATATATACTCTTACTCTCCGAAACATTCCCTTGTTTTATCGCATTAATTGCGCGAGCGTGTTACGCAAATTTATCAAAAAAAAAAATCGGTTACAATCGATTCATTCATGATTTCATGATTTTTTCTTCGCTAGAAATAAAAAAAAATACACGATGAGGCAAGATGTTCGATTTGGAAATTATTTGTTGAGAGGCCATACTTGAAATGGCATTGATTTTTGTTGATTGATTGATGTAAAAAAAAATCGAGAAATGAAATCGTAGTAATTTCTTTAATTTCATATCTGTTTCTAAGGTCAACCGATAAGTTATCAATATTTATAGCTGACTATTCACAGAATGAATCAATCGCTCTCTCAAGTGCCTCTCCAGATAATCTAACATGAGTGTGCCAAGTTTAACGAAGTTTCAAATTATTGGATCAAAGTTCGATGCGATCCGATGCGGATACGGAAAGTAATTGCGTTTGTTCATTGTTGTTGTTGTCGTCGTTTGTTGTGTTTTTTTTTTTGTTGATGGCCACTTTTAATGAACACAGTGTGAAAACCCTAAATTAACATTAGCGAGAGTGTGAGAATAAATTTGTTCATTATGTGGATGTTTATCTGGTATTTTAAATTAATTGATTCGTGGTTAATTGAAAGAATGATTTATGTATGCCACACGCATAATCACGCTATTTTATGCTCTCCTTTATCTCTTTCTGTCGTGCGCTCTCAGTAGTTGAGAATTTTGAAAATGAAAATTTTCTATGACTGTTGCATAAAATTACTATTCACACAATGTGTGTATGTTTGTCTCAAGTATGTGAACGCTCACACGCGCGCACCCACACGCTCTCTCGCATTGCATTCGTTTCGGCATTGACTCTTGAACTTCGATTGCAATTATGTTCTTCTTTAGCTTGATCAAAATTGATGCTATCAATTATTAAAAAATGAAATCAACAAATTGCAAATAACGGGAAGAGCAAATTGTTCCCTGCCCATTCGGCCGGTCCGGTGTGCCATAGTGGCAGAATGGATTTGTTTAAGTGTAAATAATTGAATATTAATCAGCTGTTAGTAGAATTAACGTTAAATTGGCTTTAAAAAGAAATCGATTCGATCGTACAGGCCATAACCGTTCATTAAAAACTCAACCAAAGTTGCATTGATTTTCGATTAAGCCATTGCACCCGAATGCTTAGTCAGATTAGGTTGTTTTTCTCTCTCTCTCTCTCTCTCTCTCTCTCTCTGCGTGTGTGTGTGTGTGTGTGTGTTGTCGACGTTTTTTGTTGGTTGTTTCGTGCGGCGTAGCGCAAACAAATGCAATGACTTCGAAACTCAATGCACTACTCTGGTTGTAGCAGTTGTTTTTGCAGTTTGATTCGTCGTTTGCGTTGATAATCGATTGATAACATGTACGGATTCGGTTTAAAAATGGTTTTTCAATTTGTTTTTTTTTTCCTTTGCTAATTTACATTTCGTTTGAGAATGAAATTAGCATAATTTACACGGTCGTGTCCATAATTTTTTGAGTATGTGTTTTTCGTTGATTGGATACATAAAGGGTTGGGCGGTGGCGCCCGCTTAGAGCATAGAATAAATTGTTGTGTAAACGGGCACATTAGCACAGTTTAATCAGATATGTACATTGTTAAAATATCATCAGGTTTAATAAGGCAAAGTTCATTGTTTTTTTTTCTACTACTGTGTTGTTGCGTCGCAAGCGCGCGAGAGCTCAACATTTCAACTTGTTTTTTTTTTTATTGTATTGTTGCCGAGCAAACGTCAAATGGTACCATTCACACAAACATTGTGTGAGTAATTCTGCTGAATGGTAACCTGTTGGGGCATCACAAGCGCAAAAAAACACTCAATCACGACACAATGCACCGTCATTCTGTAATCTCTTGAGCGGTAGCGACAATGGCTGCACCAGCAGCAGCAATAGCAATAAAAATAATCAGTGGTGAAAAAAAAAACGCACGCCTAATTTGAATATTAGCCTTGTGCATTTGCTGCGCATTGGCACCGGAACTCGTCAAGGAAATGATTTTTTAAAGCCATCTGAGATGCACATTGTTTTGTGTTTACGGGAAAAATGCCGTGTGCGCGGCTTTGATGCAAACTTTGCTAGTAACATTCCAAAATGAATGTCATTTTTGTGTATATTTGCAGCGCACAAACATCACGGATTTGCATATGTTTGATTTAATTTTTGCATTATTTGCAATGTTTCATATACATGTGTGTGCACATGTATCCATTTGTATTGAAGAAACTAAAACGAAGGCATAAAAAATCGGCGAAGCGTGCGCACTTCACAATTGGTTTGACTTGTTTATTGACCTATGCGAAATTTTATTGCATGCACCAAATAGCAAAAGCGTGCAATTCAAATTTGTGCCTTTTCTAAGTTTTTTCTTAGCTTGACAATGAAATACTATGGCAAAAACTGCGTGAGCTTGCGCGCTTACACACACACACACACACACACAACAAATAAATTCGCAAATGGAAACAAAAAGAGATAACGCAAGAAAAATGCGTTTGGTTTCTCTATGACGCACACAGTTTTTACCTTTTTTTTCGGCGACGACTGACTGAGTGACTGATTTAATCAATTAAGCACCTCGCGCGAAAGGAGGTGTACGTAAAATGTAACGAGCGATTTTATTGAAAATACATTCAATCGGTCGGCTACCTTGAGCTATAATCCTAAAATATTAAATCCGTGATCTTCGTAGCGTACACACTACCGACACCGCTGCAATTTTTGGGCCAAACAAATGCGACAAAAAAAAAAACAGGTGACGAATGCTAGAATCGTGCCAAACTGAGGGCTATTGCTTTTTGAGCCAATCGGTTGAAACCGATGAATATTCCATGACCGTCAGCTGAACTTAACTATGTTGACCAAATTTAATCATACAATACAGTTTTGCGTGTGAGTGTCTCTCTCCGTAACGCATCTTCAATAATAGATACTGATGCTGCTAACGCTATTACTGAATTTTAAAGTTTTACCAACACACAAATCCACAACAACATTCTCACTCTATTCATCTTGTAGCTCCGAAAGAGTAATGTGTAAAAATGGATTACATCATTTATAGTTTTGCAAAACCAAAAACCAAACGAAACCGATTCCACAACACTTCAGCTCTCGCGCGCGCTCACACACATCTCCACCAAAGCTAAATAAAGTGTGATAAATGCATGCATAGTAAAAAAAAAAAGCACACAATTTCAAATTTACAAACGGAGCGAAATACGCCACACTTTTCGTAAACAGTTTTTTTTTTCGTACTGTATATAGAGCCAGAGTGAGTTTTTTTTTTATTTCGTTGCTTTCTTGTCTTCGTGTGTAGATTTCTTTTGGAATCGAAAACATATCAAATGAAAATATATTTCGTTGGCCGCTTTTTAGTTTGGAGTTGTTCGGTTTTAGCCACGGTAGTGGATTCTCAATCGTGAACATTTCGTGAAATCTATAATATAACACAAGGTATTTCATGAGTGTGTATAACATAACGTTTGAAAGAGTGTTAGCTGGTTTAGTGTGTGCGCGTGCGAATGTGCCGATTCATTTCGAATCATAGACTCAATCAATCTAACCAGAAAAAAGAAAGAACAAAAATAAACGCTAAAATCCAGCTGAGAAATATCCTTTTTACTACATAATAATTATAATTGATATGCGTGTTAGCGTTACGAAATGTTTCAACTTATGTGTCAATTAATTTACATTTTCTAAACAGAAATAGATACGAAATAAAAGTGCAAAAAAAAAGAACAGTTAAACACACATTGAGATTGTAGCGGTTAAACGGTGTTAATTACACACACGCACACAGAATGGATCACAATTTAACGATTGAGCGACAAATAAATCTGCCGATGGGCAATATTACCAGCGAACAACAACAGAATGGCTTCAATGGAAATGGATACGAAAAACAGTTGGCATTTTCAAATGGACTCAACATGGCCAATCGTGATCCAATCGACTTACAATTCAAAGATATTACATATACTGTTAATTTAGGTTTCAACAAAGGTAAGCATATATATGTACAGTACATATGCATTTTGATCATTTTTTTTTACTTCTTTTCAATTTCCTCCGTATTGTTTTTGTTACTCATGCAATTTTTTGCAACATTGAAATCGAAAAATGTCTGTAGATGCAAATTTAACTATAAAAAGAAGATTTATTTTCGTGTTGGCATTTATGGCTACGCTTGTGTATTGAACGTCGCTCTAAGAGCAAAACAAAACCACATTCTATCCAGCAGCATTTCCATAAAAGCAATGAATTCACTAAACGAAATGCTTTGGTTCAGTCTTTTTATTAGGTAGACATTGCAAATTGTTTTTTTACTGCAAAATCAAAGCAAATTTTTTACGGCAGTGATGTTTCACGCGAATGCATTGAATGCAACAAAGTAGCGAAATTGTACACTTGTTGCCGCTGTAAAACATACAATTAAAACTATTTTAAGTATTAATTGACGATAATTTTCATTGATTTCTTTTTTTTATTGCTCAGTTGTTATTAATCAACAGATTGCTTTTCCAACGTCAATCTTAGGATCAGAGACTGAAATAAGAAATTTTCAGAAGATCCGAAAACGCGATAAATTGTGTTCAGAAGATCCGAAATTCCGATTGCAATCTAAAAAACAAAACGAAACTCTGAATTATAGATAAGTTTCATTGTATTTGAAAGATTCAATTTGTTTAACGAAAAAAAATGAAATGTTTGATATTCCCCATTGATTTTTATCATCCATCCACAATTTTATTGCCGATCTTGGGAATTATTTTTTCAATATGAATGCCGTCTCAGCACATAAGTGCATGCTAGTGCCACGATTTCTCCACAATCGGTGTTTTAGGATATTCAATCATTCAACTTCGATTTCCAACCGAAGTCTTCAAAGTGAGAATTTATTATGTGAACGCAGAACTGTTTCAAATAACGATTAAAATGTTTCAAATTCATTGAAAAGCTGACGAACTTCAGAATGCAGGTGTACACAAAAAATTCGAAAAAGTGAACAGTTTTTGCGATAACGAATTTGATATTTCCCATATCTTGACCAAAATTTTAATGTTTGTATGGCGAGCGAAGCGAGCCTAATATTTTCATATGATGTGCAATGAAATTCAATTTTTCCCTAATTTATTGTAATATTTTCTATCAAAGAGTATTTTGTATGCGTGCTTTGGGCATAAATTTTGGTTCATTTGAAATTTCTTAGGATCCGTAATTTAAAACTGGAGCAGCATTTTTCCATTCAGAAGATCCGAAAACTGGCAGAAGATCCGGTTATTTCAGTCTCTGCTTAGGATTGCATTTTATAGACAATTTGCACCTAGCTCAAAATAGTTTCCAATTACAAATTGTGAATATTAAAATATTTGAACTCTATATATCGACCAAAAATGCTCCCACTATGTCACACAAGGTTATTCGTAAAGCGAAAGAAACCACGAAATCAATTAGACTTTGTATCCATTGAAATGAACAGAGCTTAGAATTGTATTTGTTTGTGTTAACAATACATGTTATCATGTGCAATGGAACAACGAAAAAGGTGACAAAGTCAATAATTGTTTGCACGTTTTTTTTTCCACAACACAAAACAAAACAAAATGAAAAAAAATTAAAATGAAAATTGCATGGTAAATACGAAGTGAAATGTCATGTAATTGTGCTGACGATGCGATTTTTTTTTTTAACCACTTTCGAACCATGTTTAGGCTCTAAAGAAATTTTGCACAAAGTAAATGGTAAATTTCCATCTGGCCAATTGACTGCGATAATGGGTCCGTCCGGTGCAGGAAAATCAACGTTGTTGGATGTGTTATCAGGGTACAGAAGGACCGGTGTGCAGGGGTCCGTTTATACAAATGGTCGACTTCGAAATTTGGACGCTTTTCGAAGAATGTCCTGTTACATTACACAAGAAGATCGGATACAAACATTACTCACTGTTTTGGAGAACATGCAAATAGCTGCCGACTTCAAATTGGGCAACACATTCAAATCCTATGAGAAAGCTGCACGAGTAAGTACTTTTCATTTCTGACTATTAATTCGAATTTGAGAAAATAAAACGCATGCATTTGAGATGAAACAAACAAAAAACAAAATCGTATTGAAAATTTGATTCCAAACTCATTGTTTAGATTGAAGAGATTCTAACGTTGCTCGGATTGTACGAGCATCAAAACACAATTTCAAAACGACTGTCAGGCGGACAAAAGAAACGGCTCTCAATTGCACTGGAACTAATAAACAATCCGACTGTGATGTTCCTGGATGAACCCACCACGTAAGTTATCATTTCCGCTATATCGTGTGCACATACATATACACACACAGTTCAAGGTGGTGGGAAGAAAAAACTCACCCGAAGTAGGAGGTGTGTTGAATGTTCTAACGGATTTTTTGTTTATTTTGTTCATTGGGTATTGTTACCAGAGGATTGGATAGTCATTCATGTTACCAGGTTGTAAGTCTGTTGAAACAGTTGGCTGCTCAAGGTCGAACAATTATTTGCACAATTCATCAGCCGTCCGCCCGACTATTTCAACAATTCGAACAAGTGTACATACTTGCGATGGGCGAATGTCTATATCAAGGAGGTACTGAAAAAATCGTACCTTATTTACAATCCGTGAATTTGCCGTGTCCAGTTTATCACAATCCAGCCGATTACAGTAAGTGTTTAGATTCCAAGCGATTTGTGTGCGTGTTGGTCGTTTTTTTTGTTGATCCAATTGCTATGATTACTATTGCTGTCGATGATGCGCTGTTTTCGAATGGCTAAGTTTTTCTTTCCGCAATTTTCTTTATCACCAATTTTCTGCTGATACACAAACGTATAGTTGTTGAACTGGCCTGCGGTGAATATGGCATTGACAAAATCAAAACGATGGTCGAGAGTATGGACAATGGTGAATGCATTGATTGGTTTACAAACCCGGAAAAAGTTTGCAAATTGGAAGCATTGCGACAAAAATATCCAATCAGGCAATCATCCAAAGATAACGACCGAATGGAATCCGTCAATTCATTCCATCAACTGCGAATTTTGATGCGACGCGGTTGGATCAAAACAAAACGAGACGCAACTTTAACTCATTTAAGGTAAATTCATTTGGATTTTCATTTTGGTTTCAAATTCCCTACTCGATTTTCTTGTGGGCACACATGTATGTTCGTATGAATACCATTTTTTTTTTCATTTTGGCCCTAATCGATTTATGGTTTCCCATTTAGAAGGGGAATGAAAAAATAGGGAAATAATCATAAAACAGATACATTTGCATAACTCATGATTTATTTTCGCTCGATAATAATTTGTGATGGTAATTATTTTTGTGTGCGTTGTTTTTCAGAATGGCCGTGAACATTTCGGTGGCACTTATGTTGGGTGTTTTGTACATAGGCTCTGGAAATGAGGGTTCGCGCGTTCTCGATAATTACAAATTATTATTCGCTATTTTAATGCACTGTTCAATGGCCACAATGATGCTCACAGTTCTAACATGTATGTGATTTCAAGACATTATTTTTCTTTTCTTTTATAGCTGGAGAGAGAAAGAGAGACAGCTTTTGCTGAACGATTTTTTTTTTTTAGATAACGAAAAGTAAAAATATAATTTGTTTCATAATTTATAAATCTAGTTCCAACGGAAATGGGTATATTGCTGAAGGAGCATTTCAATCGATGGTATTCGCTGAAGTCATACTACATTTCGGTCACTTTGCTCGATCTTCCAATTTCGGTAAGAAAAAGACAAAACGGAGAAAGAGCAAAAAAAAGCCAATCCCCAAATGAAAAATTATTTCGATTTTTAATGGTAATTAGCATTTCATTCACTGTTCTCTGTTGTTTGCATTTCACAGTTTATCGGCACGTCAATTTTTACTATTTTAATTTACACCATTACGAGCCAGCCATTCGAACTGTCCCGATTCGCTATGTTCCTTGCTATAAGTATTGTAGTCACGATTGTCGGTCAAAGTATCGGTCTGATGGTTGGCGCATGGTTCGATGTAGTGGTGAGTAGAGTAGCGTAGCAGAGATTTGCTGTGTTTTTTTCTTCATCTTCGTTGGTTGTTCGCAGAAAATTCAACGCTTGCCGACAACGACGACGACGACGAAAAAAAAACACATACACACTAGATTCGACTGACGATTCAACACAATTTGATTTTCCCACTATTTGTTTGTTTTTTCCTCTCTTTTTTTCTCCATCATCAAGAATGGCACTTTTTTGGCGCCGACTATCACCATTCCAATGATGATGTTCGCTGGATTCGGTGTCACTTTGCGTGACTTGCCCAGTTACATGAAATGGGGTAGTAATATATCTTTCATGCGATATGGTCTCGAAGGATTTGTTGGCGCTATTTATGGTGAAAATCGACAAACATTGGCATGTGATAAGGCTATGTATTGCCACTACAGGTACACAACATGCTGAACAGTTTCATGCATGATTTTTTCTTCTTCTATGTTTTCCCCAGTTCGACATTGATGTTTTTACTTACGAAAAAAATCTCTGCATCCATTTTCAGATATCCAAAGCAGTTCCTCACCGAAATTTCGATGCGAGGCGATCAATTTTGGCCATGTTTGAATGCTTTGTTCATTACGGTTGTGCTACTACGTTTAGGTGCCTATTTCCTCCTCCGATGGAAGGTGGTTGCAGTTCGATAAGCTTTTTCTCATATTCACCTTCAACTAATTAGTTCTTAAGAAAATTTTATGAAACGAGAAAAACAAAACAAAAAATCTTTTTGCCAAATCCAAATTATGCATAAAAAAATTTATACATTAGGCAATTTTTCGAATCGTTTGACGGACCAGCACACAACGATGATACGTTCCGATCAAACTAGCAATTTTTATTTCTAGCAAATTTTATGCAACCAAACTAATAAAAGAAATTATTTTACGAGCCAAATGATTTCATGATTTATTCAAATTTAAATATGGACTAATTTTCCTCAATTAATTCCAGTTTTATATATTTCTAATGTTTGCGCTCTCACATTCGCTGAACAATAAAACCAATTTCGAAATGGAATGAAAGTTAATTTAAAATCAGGTTTATAATTTATAAATGCGAATGCGTTGAATTTCATTTATAAATTTCATTACTGTTGAAATGGTTTTGTAGTGGCGACGGAAGGAACACAGCAGCTATAATATTATATCGCATTGGTAAGCCACAATTGCTTGGTTGTACACTGTTTGTGTTCACTGTACCGAAGAGCAAACCGAGTATATCAATCGAATGGAAACGTTCAATACCCAAATGACATTGACTTGTGCTTACCACACTCTGAATGAATATATACATAAATATACACACGAACCGAATGTCAAACGAGACATCAACACAATTACTCGTTTGTTGTGCTGTTTATAGTGTTGGTTTGTTATTATTGCGCGCGGCCACGAAATGAAGCGATCGAGTTCATGGAAGAATTTACAACGTACATTTGCATCAACGCCGATTACAACCACAGTGAAACGCGCAAAAATCAATCGAAAAATTGTGCATAGTTCAGAAAGCAGCCTCAACGAAAGCAATAACTTCCAAATTGAGGACAGCGATGGAGAGAATGTGCCATGTGTCAAACAACAGCTTCGTCAGACACCGCTCAAAACAACACAAAAACAATACAGACGACCGAAATCCAAACCATTACAAATAAATATGAGCATCAATTCGAGCCTGACGGTTGACGATTCGTTCGTCTGGAGCAGTGAAGAAAGTGTGGATGATGAACCGGTATTGAGAGATGTATCCGAGTGCTTCAACAAATCACATCCGCGTCCAAAAGCGCGTTCAAAGAGTCTTTTGTTTTTGGAGAAATCTGAGCAAAATCAACTGAACTCAAGCAAAGAACAAACTAAATTGAAAGATGCGACGACACCAATAAAACAACAACAGAAGGCAAACCGCAGAAGTGTATTCAACAGCAGTACGATTACTAGTCGACCGGACCATAATGAAACCATCATCGAATCAGATTCGTTGGATGAAAATGATTCGCCGACGAAGGAATCAAGTCAAAATACGAGAACAGAAATTATTACACGGCAACATTCGGCCGATATTGTATTCACACAAACCACCATCACGACACAAAGTTCAAATCCACCAGTCATCGAGTCTGAAAGTTCACAATTCTCACTGAAAATTGATTCGCAAAATTCGCGGATACACACCCGCCGTACGCGGAGCAAGAAACTTGTGAAAGGCGGTCTAGTGGAGCGATTAAATAAGGTAGTCAATAACAACAAATCGGAATATTCATTTTGGATAAATGAACGCAGCACAGATGTCATCGAACCGGGCGAAAAGGTGCGCATCGATAAAATAGAACGCTCCTACGGACGTATACTGTTACATTGTTCCAGCGTTGATAATACAAGCATTGAGAGTATTCTATGCATTGATCCATCCTTCAAGAAACTTACCATGCTACAAATGGGCAAAACCATTGAGGTCGGCCTCGATTCAAACGGATATGACATTGGGAACGGCACACATTTCTATCCGAATGTAACGAAAATTTTAGTATGAAATAGTTTTTCATGCATTTAGATTTGGAGGTGATAAATTCGATTTCCCAATCAAAAGAAAATAATTGGATATATCAAGAAATTTATCTCAACTGAAAACTGTGAAATTCTACGTTTAAGTTGAATTAAAAGAATGTTCTTTATATGAGTTGAAAGAGACGATGTTTTATATTTGTCAAAATTTTTATTCTTTTTAATCAATTGAACGTCTACAATTTGAAACCTGAGTGAATGGCACAAACACCGAATGTAAGATTTTCATAGGTAACACAATTGAAACCAGCATTTTGGATCATTTGTTTGAATTGTTGTTGCTTTGGAAAACGGCGAATACTTTCGATGAGATATTGATAGGCCTCCCACTGGCCGGCTAAAATATGACCCATCGGCGGTATATACGTAAAGGAATACTGGTCATAAAGCCATTGCATTTGCAAATTATTCAAATGACTAAATTCTAAGCACATAAAACGGCCGCCGGGCTGCAGCACTCGATACGCTTCTTCAATCACCTGAATTTTGAATTGAATCATAGAACCAAATTTGTATTAATTCCTTTCGATCGCATTTGAACGTTTTTTTTGATTGCTATCATGATTATTAACCAACAACAAAAGAAAAGTCACTACCTTATCAATATGTGTGCAATTCCTGATACCGAATGCAATTGTGTACGCATTGAATGTGTTACTATCAAATGGCAGTTGTTCGGCATTTGCACAAACCCAATCAATAGTACAATGATCCAAAGATTCATTGGTGAATTCTAAATTCTCCGCTCGTTGTTTGCCCACATCGAGCATATTTTGGTTGATGTCTGACACCGTGACATGACTTTTCTTTGCATCTGATGCGGTGCGTGAATTTTTCAGATATTTTAGGTAACGAAAAGCTATATCACCGGTGCCGCCAGCCATGTCCAGCAATCGTGTGCCATGAGTCGGCCCAAGACGTTCCATGAAAATATCCTTCCATATTCGATGAATTCCCATCGACATTGCATCGTTCATCAAATCATAGGATGCCGCTACATCCTCAAATACTTTATGCACTGTAGAAAACACATAAATATTCATTTAAAATTGCATTAGATTTCACTTTTTGCAATTGCCAAACCTTTGTTCTCCTTTTCATTTTCGCCGACAGTTTGAAATCCAAAATGTGTGGTTCGGTTAATTTCGGCTGTTGTTTCTTTTGTTGTGCACAAATAACGCTTGCGACTGCAATTCTGACCAATTAATGAATTAATTGCCCAAAATTGCCTCACTGTCAAATTCTTTAAACTATGCATTTGCGAAGCGGATTAGATTTACAGATGAAAGACTTTTACCGAAATTTAAAATATCAAATTATTTATGGGACATTCAATATTATGTGGTTTAGTTTCATAACAAATAAAGTGCTTCTAACCTCAAAATGTTTCTGACAGCCAGAGAGTTAGAGCAAGCGTATATGTGTGTGAGTGTGACTCATATGTGTATACAAATGTCAAGACTGGTGGATGCTTTCACTGTGTATTTCGCTAATAGACAAAAATCAAAATTATCGTTACGAATGTGAGATTCGTTATCGTCAATCCAATATAATACTTCCGCTTGTGTGAACTACATATTGAATAAATTCGGGCAATAAATATGCACGGATGAGAATCTTTTGAGTGAATCGCTTCAATTAGCCGAAAGAAAAAATCCATATGGTGAAAAATAAATCCAATACTTTGGACACTATAGCTGATGTATGCATCATTTCACCACCGATTATTGTGACCAAAACGTACCGCGAATTAGTTCCAATTCATGCCGAAAAGAAGAAGAAGAAAGCACATTCATCATACATGTATAGAATGCAACAACAATTATTTCCAAGCAGCGAATAATGAAATCTTGTCAAGTCATCGATAAAATCAATACCGATTAGCCAAAAGCGAATCTGATTTGAATGGATCGAATGCAATCACATCGAATATTCATTTATATCTGAGGGAATTTATTTTTATCGCTTTTCTGCTCTTGCTATATAGCTATTGCTGTTATCGCTATGCACGAATTTTCACAGGGAATCAAAAACACCGAGCATTACATCGTAACACGATGCTAATGTGTCAATATACCGATATATTCCCATTAATTTCATTCAAATCATCACCAAACATCACAAGCACACATATGCCCAAAATTCTCGATCAGCAAACACAATAAGCATTATCAATCTTACTTGAAAAGTAACACATTGCGCAAATCACCATTGGTCATATCTAATCCGAACGCATCATTATTAATTCCGTCAAGTTGTCAAAATCAAAGCGAATAACATTTTCGTTATAATGAAAGAGTAATTCAATGGCTAATCGATAAATCGTATCAGTCGAAGCGAAATTCTCAACTGATATTTCATTAAATTTGGTCTTACATTTGTAACCAACACTCTTCCTACCCCACACTATTTGCGGTGTGATACATTCATTTCGTCAAAATTGAATTGACCAATGAATGAAGCATGCCATTTCCCATATACGACGTTATTCTCATTCGGGAATCATTTCAAATTCAGTTGAATCAAAGAAATGCCGCATTGATGAAAAGAGTTCTGCTTAAAATGGGTTATGTTGACAAAAAAAAAAAAAAACAACCCACAAATATTAATTCGATTTTTTTTTCTGTCGATTATAACACTTTCCATTATTTTCAATGGAAATTCACGCATTTGAGCAACCGAAAAAATAAAACATTTGAATGTGGTATTCCTATAAAACATTTCGCTCGATTTGCACAACATCTCAGTATCTTTCCGGTTGCCAAGTGATTTGGATATTATTAACCAACGGAGAAGAAAAAGAAACAAACGCAAACAAAATGGTTTTAACATATACGATTTGCTTTTTGCCGCTTCTCGCTACGGTGAGCAATTAAATGGGATGAAAATAGTTTGATTTTTATTTTAATGATAATATTTTTTTCTCCTCTCTCTTCTCTCTTTTTCTTTGTCTCGATAGTTTGCGTACGGCGGTTCAATTCTGGGTTTCATGTCAGACCCAGTACAATCACGATCGTCATTATTGAAATGCATGTTCAACGCAAACGATGGAGCGATTGTCGTGGATGAAAAGTTCGTCGCTGTCTAGGAGGAAACACATGATGCTCGTGATAAAATATTTCAACAATTCGATGATTGCTATTAGCTTGAAGATCCAACAAAAGTCGATGAGTAAGAAAAGAAGAAGAAGAGAGAGAAAGATTCGAAAGCAATAAAAATGTGTGTTGAGGAATATTAAAGTAAGCCATTAAACTGATTTTTAGATGCGCTTCCGTTGAATTTACGAATGGCCAGAAAGTCATAATGGAATTTTTCGCTCATTTCGAAGGCGTAAGTAAAATATTTTTGTTGTTTTCTTTTCTTCTAGTATACATCCTTCAATAGATTATACGACGTGATTATAAAATCGGTTTATTGAGCAGCTAAAATGGTTTTTCAATGAAATACCCCGCAAAAGGAAGAAAAAAACAGCAGAACTGATAGTGAGTTTGCTAAATACATCCAATTTTTGATTTTCTGGTTGGAATAGCAATCGATGACCAATGCTCAACGTACCCAGGTGATCACCACACCAGAAAAGGCGATGGCTTGTAAATCAATGAAATTATAAATGCTGGCTAGTGAAAATGTGTTTCGCACAATTCCAAGTAAATAAATTATGTTCAAAACGGTTTTGTAACAAAGCTTTTTGTTGATAAACAAAATATTGATTGTGTTTGATTTGATTTGTCAGCAGAGTGCTGCATGCAAAAGCGCCTGATGATGATTATATTTACATATTATTTCTATTGATGACGCTAACAAAAACTCGTCCGTCTCTGATATGATATCTCTATTACGTATGCCACAACACCAATAACAAGCACACAGCTATATTTCGGTTATGATTCTGAAGTATTTAACGCCACTTTATGAGATATACCGGGGGAGAGAGAGAGAGAGAGAGAGAGAGAGAGAGAGAGAGAGAGAGAGAGAGAGAGACAGAGAGAGAGAATGAGGATGAGGATGAGAAAACACTTGAATTTGCTATTCAACAGCTTGTGTCGAATTATATCTTTATAGTCTATCAACGGGAAGGAATGTTTATTAGAATAAACAAATGTACCCTTTTCGCCTAATCTCACACCATTCTGCACTCATTCGTTGCGGCAACATTATATGGATGTCATTCATTAGAAATTCCGTAATTTTTGCTTTTGTTATCGAACAACAACAATAATATATGGCTGGTTCGATTTGAATTTTACGCATCGAAACCGAACACAAATTTCGGCCATTTGCCAATGGGTTATGCTTGTGAGCCAAGAACATGAGCATGGGGCTTATAGGTCAACTATCGTACGTGAACCACAAAACATTGTTGCTCAATTCCAATCTCTTGGTCCCATTTTCATTCTATCGCCTCTCCGCTCAACAGTACTCTCGTACGCTATTCATTCCGGTAATATTCGCGACTAATATCATTAACAGCGTAGTCAATATAGCGAATGGAGTTAGAATTTCTGAGACAAATTGACAATAAATATAAAAGCAACAACTTTTCTATGAATTTTTTTTTTCACATTTACGGCCTTTGATTACATAACAGCGGGGCCAAGAGCGGAATGTGTGCGTGAATGAACGAATGAGTGAACGAAAAAGAGATCGGTTTTTATTGTAGTGACAGTGGTAGCTAACAGTTTGCTGCAGTAATAATGGGATTGAGCATAGAAATGGGGAGGCATAACATCATCAAAAATGGGTCGTAAATAAAATGGGCCCCAACAAATCTAAAACGGCGCTCGCTCTCTTGCTCTTCTGTTTTGGCAGTGGCAGCAAGCAGCAAAACATAGCATTGAACCAAACACAGAGAACAGCAGTAGCAGCAGCAGCAGTCTCGCACACATTTCGCCAATTGACGACTATTATGACCATTGCAGAAGCGATACATAAAACACACTCACTTCTCTTTCTCTATCTCTCTCTCTCCCTCTTCATTTCCATCTCGTCTATTATTGTTCAGTAAACACAGGCAATGAATTTTATATGTGGAAAATCTGAGAGTTGGGAACTTAGAACACACTCCATCGTCGGCCCAAAACTAAAAACAACACATAGTCAACATCATCAGCCGTAGCAATAGCATCACATTTTGTTCATCTTGTTTCAACGCTAATTTCTCGAGAGTTTCCCTCTTACGTACGCTCTACGGCTACGCAACAATTTTCGACGAACTTTTCTTCGCTTATTTTTTGTGTGTGGCATCTTCCTTTTCTTTTCTTCTTTTTTTTTTCTTTTCATTTTTTCCTCTTCTTTCCTTACTGCTCACGCTAGGGTTTGTCGTCTCTGTTGCACATGCTATACGTTTAGCTGCTGACTCGTTCAACATCCGAACAACCAAGAAGAAATCCACATAAAATTGGGTAGCTGTATGTGTGAGAAAGAACGAGTGCGAGCATATACAATTTCATCGGCTCCAAATAGGCGGCAAATAAAAGTCAAAAAGAACGGCTCGAACATAATATTCATAAGAAATCAAGTATCGCATACACACAACACCCGATGACGATAACGTCGGCAAAAATTGTTGACAAAAAGACAATAGAGGGATGTATTTGCTACTGCCATTGTGTCATTCAGTGTGTTTAATGTTTTACGAAATATCTGTCTGCATGGAGGAGAGCGAGAGCGGTAGGGGTGGGAGAGAGAGAGAGAGAGAGAGAGAGAGAGTGAAATGGTAGATGTCTTAAATAAAATATGTAAAAATAATATCAAATATAAATGTCTGGAATAAAATGATAAAATTTGCAAGATTCTCGTTAGATACTTTCCATTTTCGCCATTTTCTCTTCGTATTTCTTCGGTCGTTTTCTTCTTCTTATTATTTTTCTTGTTGTTGTTGGTGTTGTTGCTGGTTTTTTTTCTATGCTTCTCTTCGCATCTTTTGCTTTTTGCTTTTTCGTCGTATTTGTTTGCCGCATTCAAGCGTGTATAGTTATTGTGCTTGTGTTTATCTTTAGATAGGGATAAAACATCAAATATTGTTTGACGGAGTGCTTTTTTCTGCTTCTTTTCGCTTTTTTCCTTCTTTATTTGCTGTCTCTCTCCCTCTTTCCACTCATATCGCATCAATGCGAACACATATCTGTGCTCTAAATGCCATTCGATTTTAACGTAGTTTAGCATTTCGCCGATTTCCGAATCAATGGCACACAAATAGTTTGAATAACAAAAGAACAAACAATAATAACAATATCTGAGCCACAGTAAGTTCAGATTGTTTGAAACGAGATGAAGATGAAAAATGACGAAATCCGCGAGCGAACAAACGAAACGAACGATTGAGTGAGCGAGTGAGTTAGCAAGCGAGAGAAAGATTTCGACAATCAACAGATTTTTTATGCTTG